AAATTTATTATAAATAAAAGCCACTTGACAAAATTCACAGTCCTTCTTATGGAAACTCTCAGGAAACCAGGAATAGAAGCAAACTTCCTTAATCTTATGAAAGACATCTGTGAAAAACCTACATAAATAGCATACGTAACATTGAGATGTTGCAAACATCTCTTTACAGGCCAAAAATGAGATAAAATACCCATTACCCCTGCTTTTATTCACCACTGTATTGGAGATCTTAACTGCCACAGTCAACCAGAAAAATAAATGAAGGCATCAGGTTTGGAATGGAAGAAGCAAACTTATTTGTGTAGATAGTATGATCGTCTATATAGAACATGGCAGAACAATCATTACAATTAATAAGACAGTCTGAAAGTTTTCTGGAAACAACACCAATAACCAAATGCCAATGATATTATTATAAGTTAGCAACAATTAGCTAGAAAATTTAGTTTTAGAAAAGAGAAATTTATAACAGTAATCAAAAACTTAAAAAATATAGGATAAATATAATAATAGATGTATGAGATTTTAAAGAAGAAAATCATAAACTTTTATTAAGATATATTTTAGAAGTATAAGCCAATAAAGAGATATACCATGTTTTTAGATGGGGAGACTCAATATCATAAAGATGTCAATTCTCCCCAAATTGACCTATAGGTCAATGAGACTAATCAAAACCTGAACAGAATTTTTAATTGAACTTAGCAAGACAATTCTAATATGTACATGGAAAAGTAAGGGCCAGGAATAGCCAAAATGTCCCTAAAACAGAGAGCATAGTACATAGAAGGATTTGCTCAACTGGATTTCAAGACTGATCATAAAGCTTTAGTAATTAAGTCAGTCAGGTACTGGGGCAGGGATAGAAACATAGATCAAGGAACAGAAAAATGACCATGCATATTTAGAAATCTATTTGTATGAAAAGAATAGATTATTCAGTAAATAATGCCAGGAATTTCCATATGGAAAAAAAATAGGAATAGTATCCCACCTCATAGCACACTTGAATGTCACTTTCAGAAGGATTAAAGACCTAATGATAAAGAACTATAAAACTTTTAGATGGCAATTTAGGAAAATAATCTTTTTGGTCTTAGACTAGAAAAGGATATCTTTTTTTTTTAAGTTTTTTTTTTCCTCACCCAGCATGGAGCTTGAACTCACAACCTTGAGATCAAGAATCACATGCTCTTTTGACTGAGCCAGCCAGTCACCCCTAGAAGATTTCTCAAACAAGATGCAGGAAGCACAAACCATAAAGGATAAACTTTGTGAATTTAACTACATTAAGCAACACTCAAAGAATGAAAAGCCAAACCTCAAACTGGGAAAAGATACAGCAAAACCTGTAACTATCAAGGACCTGAGTTCAGAATATGTATAGAACCCCTACATTTCAACAAGAAAGAGACAAACAACATGAACATGGGCAAGCGACACAACAGATTATTCACAAAAGAACAAACGCAAATAGCTTGCAGACATAGAAAGATACTGAAATAACAAGTAAGTAAGGCAATGGGATCTTAAACCGAAGTGAGATGCCATTTATCACCTCTTAGAATGGCATAGAGTAGGGGGTAGGAATGGTGAGGATGGGGTGCACTAGGAACTCTGCAATGGTAGGTACATACACTTTGGGAAAACATCTGCCCGCACCTAATAAAGTTGACCTTACATGTGTCCCAAATTCTACACATATGTACCAACTGACATGCTCAAAAGTGTTCATAGCAATGTTGTCCACATGAGCCTCAAACTGGAAACAACACCAATGCCTACTGACAGCAGAAGGTATAAGTCATGGTTTAGGCACACAGTGGAATACTATACAGCAGTGAAAAGGAGTGGGTTCCAGCTAAGTGAAGATAAAATTGAGCCACAACAAACACCACACAGTATGTTTCTACATAGGTCAAAGACAGTCTAGACTAAACAATATCTTGTTTAGGAATATGTACACAGTCGGTAAATAAGAAAATGAGGGACTGAATAACCAAAATCTAGCTAGGCGTGTATAGGATCAGGGAGGGGCGCATCAGGAGCTTGGAAAGTACTGGTAATGTTGTGTTTCCTTACTTGGGTAATGGATTCATGGGAAATATGGAACATACATATTTTATTTTTTTATTTTTTTAAAGATTTTATTGATTTATTTGACAGAGAGAGACACACAGCGGGAGAGGGAACACAAGGAGGGGAAGTGGGAGAGGGAGAAGCAGGCTTCCCACTGAGCAGGGAGCCCGATGCGGGGCTCGATCCCAGGACCCTGGGATCATGACCTGAACCGAAGGCAGACGCTTAACGACTGAGCCGCCCAGGCGCCCCGGAACATACGTATTTTAAACACTCTTTTGTCTACATGGTAGATTTCATAATTAAAACAAAATAAAAACAATAGAGTTTCAGCTCTCACTGCTTAGGTAGGGTGTGGCACGTTTGGAAGTGGGTGCAGGTGGGGGCAGGGGGCTGTGGGCCCACCAGGAGAGCTGGGTCCCGGTTGGGAGAAGGGATGAGGGTTAAGTATTTGTCTGGGGTTCTGGCAGGTGTATTAGTCATGGTGGTAAATGCTATGAACGTGCTCAGAGAGAAGGCCAGAGGGACCTGTCCTTTATAGGGCTGAGTGGTCATCCCTGTTAGGTAGAGTGGCCAGACATTCATGGGTTAAGTCACATGAGGGATACAAAAATTCCTTTCAAACGATATTGCTCAAAGCTGATCCCACCAATAATCGAGGGGCATTTGCACCTGACTCAAAGGCCTGCTCCACACAGGGGCGCATCACCTAGTCTATAAGTAAGTGTTGGGGGGCTGGTGGGGCAGGCTGATGGGTAAAGGGAAAAAGTTTAGTTTAAAAAATTGTATTTGCTGGGGAGCCCAGGTGGCTCAGTCGGTTGAGTGACCGACTCCTGATTTCAGCTCAGGTCATGATCCCTGGGTCATGCGATCGAGACCCACATTGGGCTCCTTGCTCAGGGGAGAGCCTGCTTGAGATTCTCTCTCTCCCTCTCCCTCTGTCCATCCTCCCCTCTCAAATAAATAAATAAATCTTTAAAAAAAATTTTGTTTTAAGCAATATTTGCTTTGGGGCTGGGGTTCAAGGCTAATGGGGTGATGACAGAAGTCTGGGGGTTTCTTGTGAGAAGCTGGCATGGCTGAGGTTAAACGCGGGCGTCTGGGGACCTGACCACCAAACTGGGATGGGATGAAAGGAAATGAGACCAGGAGACCAGGGGCCTGATAAAGCGTTTTGACTCTGTGTTCATGATGGAGACTGGGTTCTCTGGCCAGTGGAAGTGGTTGGTAGTTACTAAGCACAGGGAATGCTAGGATTCGATCCAAAATTTAGAAAGATCGAGCTGGTGGCTGTGTGGAGGTTGGCCAGGACAGGGGAGGGACGGGAAGCAGGGAGACCAGTGAGAAGACCAGTGACAGGTGGCGCTGGCCTCAGCTGACACGAGGACCACGGGTTTGGAGAAGACCAGAGAGAGGCCGCGGTTAATACTGTCCTGAGAATGAAGCTAGCACCAATGTAATACTGCGTATTTAGGTGGACTTGGGCTTTAGACACACGTGCAAGAGCTCATTCTGCCAAAAGGAGACTCTGATAAATTCTTTTTTTAAAAGATGTATTTATTTAGTAGAGAGAGGGGGAGGGGCAAAGGGAGAGAAGCAGATTCCCTGCTGAGCGCGGAGCCCCTCACGGGGCTTGATCTCAGGACCCTGAGATCATGACTTGAGCTGAAATCAGGAGCCGGATGCTTAACCGACTGAGCCACGCAGGCACCCCTCTCTGCTAAATTATTGACTTATCCGGCCCCCAGGAGGTAAAGAAAGGACAGAGAAAGGAGGAGGAAGGGAAGGCCTGAGTGCTGATCACGAAGAGGAGGGCTTAACACCACCTGACGGATGAGTTGATGAGGTTCTGTTTCTTTGCCTAAAGTCAAACAACCAGTAGGTGGTGGAGCCAGAAGTCAGTCTGCACTACCCAAAAGGAAACTGCCACCCAGGCCCCCATTCTGACCACTTAGGAGGCTCATGTCAGGCACGGATGTGGCATATTTCCTTGGAGTTGAGACCTCAAAGGAAGGGAATGTGTGTAAGAGCAGACCGGCGCCCTGGGCTGAAGAAGAACAGACTTGAGAAGGCTTGAGGATGGGCGGGGCATAGGCCTGAGGATGGGCGGGGCATAGGCCTGAGGATGGGCGGGGCGGAGAAGTGCGAAAGTCATTTTTCTGGGGATCTGATACTGGCTGTACTCAGGTAGAGGGTTAGGCCAAGTCCTCTCTCCCACCCAGCCCCAACTCCAGCTGCCTGCCTGAGTCCCCCCGCAAAACCCAGCTCGGGTGAGTGCAAGGCCAGATGGGCCATCAGGTGACGTGCAGATTTTCTTCAACCAGAATGATCAAGCTTCGACCCAAAGCCGCAAGGACCATTGGGATAGCTCAGTTATCCAAGGGGCTGCATGTGTGTACTCTCCTGGCCCATCCTGACCTCGGTAGGCCTCAGTTCTCACCCAGAACTGGGTGAGAATCAGTCTTTGGTTTAAATTCCTGTAAAAAGGATAATATCGTCCCTGCCTCATCTGCCAAATAGGAGCAGTAGGTGACATAAGGCAGGGGAGGGGCCTGAAACAGGATTTATCTCAAAGTGAGCCCTCAACTCCTACCTACCTGGGGTCTGGATTCCCGTTTTCTTGCTGAGCCAAGAAAAAGCTCTTCTCTGCTGCCATCTAGTGTGAATCTTGGGAATGACACCTGAGGGGAGGTGAGTGGGGGGGAAAAGCTCTCCGGTGAGGTCACCTGGGCCCTAAAAGCTGCTGGTTGGAAGGTGGTGAGACGTGACGCAAGGCCTGTCACGCCCGGAATGGGCCACCTTCTCACCTCTGCATGCCTTATGCTACCCTCTCCTCTTGGCTTCCCCACCTCCCCAGTTTTGAACTAACAGTGTGCTTAGAGAGGCGCTGTAAGTCACCACACCCAGGGCTAGTGGGGTGCAAACCACAGATTTATTTTGCAAGTAAAAGAGGCATCCCAGCAGGGCCAGAACAAAAGGAACCATGGCTGAGAGCAGAACGCTTGGATACGGAAAGACCAGAGAGGTCCACGGGATTGCAGCCCCTGGGGAGAGCTGGGGAGGCAGGCCGTGGAGTGACCCCAGGGGCCTGGTGGCTGGGGCTCCAGGGGCCTCGGGCGCTCAGCTCCACGTGCAGCATTTGCAGGAGGAGCTGAACACCAGGCTCTGAGGGCAGCTCTGCTGGAACAGCCTCCCCGCTACACAGCTGTAGTAGCTGCTCTGGTCCCAAGGGTTAGGGTAGAGCCCGTCGGCTTTGCCTTGGCAGAAGGTGCCCTGTTCAAGGCTGGGGCCATGCTCAGGTTCAGAAGGACGGGGTGGTGTGGGGACTTCCGGTTCTGGGGTGCCTAAAGGCATATAGGGAAGACCTGGGGAAAGAGGGAAGATTCAGCCAAGTCTCCCCCAAGGGATCCCCACCCACAGGCAGAGAACAGTCCGACAACGCTATGCCCACGGCTGCGGCACAGCTCAATGGGCCACACGGGGACCACACGTGTAAGAGGCAGTCGATGGCCACCCACCCTCTGCGCAGACCAGCCACGCACTGGCGAGGGCCCCCGGGGGTCTCGCACTGCGGGCGGAGCGCAAGCTTTCCCTTTGAAGAGAGGAGCAAGCTGCGGTTCCCAGGCTGAGGGCCCCCAGAGAGAAGCCCCGGTTACCGACACCCCCCATGGGCATTGCCACAGTTAGAAAGGGGAAGAATAGCCTGGAAAGAGAATGGTTTCAACAGTTTCCTTAGCCCTCAGGGGTGCATGATATTTGGGAAATCGCAGTATTGGGACAAGGTTATTTCCTCAGAAGGAGCCAGGACCTGCAGCTCAGGGCGGGGGTGTTGGTACCCTAGCCCCGAATTCTGCCTCTGGTCCCGCACCCCTTACTCACTCAGCTCCAGCTGCAGTGCCTTGATGAGGGGGTAGAGGCCCTGCTTACAGAAGAAGCCGGCGAAGTCGTCCATGTCCAGTGCCCAGACCATGGCCCCGCCCAGGCCCTTCTGCTTCAGGTAGCTGGCCTGTGAGGGGAGTGAGACCACAGGAGGAGTCTGGGGCAGCCCGGCCAGGCCCGCCCCAGCGCCCATCCTCTGGCTTCTTCATCAGAGACAGGGCTCTTGTTTCCAGCACCCCCAGGCCATGAGTGGTCTGGGCTTCTGGACACAGCCTTGGGCTAGAAGCCCAGGTAACCGAGTCCTGATCCCTACTGGGCATAAGTCATTCTAGAATCCTCCTGCCTCAACAGGAGCATGGCCTGGGGTGGGCATGAGGGTGGAGGTGTGAGGAGTAGATGCGTGTGAACTTCCGTAGGTTGGAAGCTTTAACATCTCTGTCTTTTCTGGGCTGAGCTGCTGTGTTTGCGGGCACTGCCTGCTGGTTGTGATTAATCCAGTTACCAAAGGGATGACGAAACTTCCCCAGAGATCTGAACAATTTCCTGTCTTTAGGTCTTTGTCCTCCCTCGAGGGCCTTCTCTCCTCCACTAGATCCCCAAGTCGTCCCCCGGAAAGGGTTGTGTGTTCCCTTAAGGGGGCTTCCCTGTCCCCTAAGCCTGCCAGGGGGCCCTGGCATGAGGCAGGGTGTTGGAAGGTAGGGCCGGTCTGGGGCCTGCCCACCTTCTCTGCTTTCAGACTTTCTCAAAGACCTTTTTCCACCATGACCCCTTCTCCCATCTGTCTCCTCCAGCCAGGATCACTCTCCCTGCTCAATTCTCCCAGAGCCCTTGATCTACCCCTCTAGGAAGACCTGCCATTGTCTGCCCTGCATCATAAGGGATGTGACTTGTCCAGATGAACAGGCGCGGGTGCCTCTGCAGGAGGTCACAGTCTCATGGGGGACAGAGGCATGGAAATACATAAATGCAGGGGAGGGGGTGGAGAGATGGGGTAACTGGGTGATAGACATTGGGGAGGGTATGCGATGTAATGAGCACTGGGTATTATATAAGACTGATGAATCACAGACCTATGCCTCTGAAACCAATAACACATTATATGTTAATTAACTGAATTTGAATTAAAAACTGTAAAAGAAAAAGAAATACATAAATGCACTTGTTTTGAACCACCAACATTGGGCAAGAGTTGATGGGGGGATGGTCATATAAGTAAATCAAAAGGTCTATAATTTGAACATGCACCAAATATTGTCAATGAGCTGAATAAAAGGATACACCTCACTGTATGTCTCCTCTTCATATGTCTGTAGAATCTGCATTTTGTTAAAAACAAATACAAGTATGTAATAAAATGCAAATTCTTCCAAGAGTGGTACTCAATGTAGAGCAACTTTTGGTGATCATGTCTTTTCTTAATCAATAGGTGGTAAAAATACAAAATACTATCACCAGAAGATCTGTGACATGTTGAGATATTTTAAAGGAGACTCCTCTCTGAAGAGGTTCTGAATGTTATCATTCAGTGTTATTGACAGGCTCGGGCCCACCCAGGACCACCCGCCACTCCCAGCAGGGCTGGGCCTCACCTTGGTTTTGAAGCTCTCCACATCATCGAAACCTACCCACTGGTTGCCTTGGAAGGCATAGGGTACCTTCTGGTCCTTGATTCTGTGCTCAACGGCCCCCTTCCAGGAGCAGACCTGTAGGAGCAGAGGGCAGAGCTGGGGAGGAGGCACCTGTGCCCCCTTGCCAAGAGGAGACTAGAGAGTGGAAAACTCCTGCCTGAAGGAGTCTGCAGGACCCGGGAGGTTCTAGATTGAGTGACCTAGGACCCTGGATTCAATGAGGCACTGGGGCTTAACGATAATCCAAGATGACAGATAATGGATAGGATTCACCAAGCCGGAATTCGCTATGCCTGACATCCTCATTCAGAAACTATGGGAGAAGCAGCAGCCCCCACCCCACCCCATATTAGGGGTGGCTGTGGGTTCTCCTACCTCGTAGTAAGCCAGCAGCCCTCCCTGTTTGGTAAAGGGGCCAGGGGCTCCAGGCCCCGTGGCTGGGGCCCCTACTCCGGTGTCTGATGGGGAGGCCAGGGTGAAGGATCGTCCATAGGTGGGCATGCCAAGGATCAGTTTGTTGGCAGGGGTCCCCCTCTGCAGCCACAGCTGCACAGCAGAGTCCTGGTGAGAGGCAAGGAGGGGCAGGGTTAATTCACCTTGCCTCTGGCCTGGTTCTGGTCTTCCAAAGCTGGGGGCCTCAGAGAAGCTTCACAGTGTTCCAGCCTTACTAGTGTTCCAACCCTGGCCTGTCTTCTTTAGGTCCTGTCTTAGATTCTTGACCCCAGAGAAAGAGAAGCTGCATGGCAATCTAGCCAAGAGCGTGAGCTTTGGAGTCAGACAACCATTCACGGAGCCAATATTTATTCACGGCCCATTGTGCGCCTGGCTAGATGCTTGGGATACGTCAGGGAGCAAAGCAGCCGAGATCGCTGCCTGTCTCAGCAACTTACTACTTAACCTTGCTGAGCCTTGGGCTTCCGGTCGGTTACATAGAAACAACTAAAATTGCAAGAATTACAAGCTATGACGCAGGTATAAGGTCCAGCAAAACGCGGTAACGAATTGCTGTGATCATGCTTGTGCTCTTTGCGGTCTGCTTCATTTATCTCTGTGTTCCTCATGCCTAGAACAATGCTCAACACTTAGATGCTCAGACAGAAAGAATAAATGAGTACATGGTGTCCTCATGTGTACCTGACCAGGGCCTTCCCCCTCATGTATGACTTGACGTGACATCCCCAGCCTGTGACATGCGGACGTACCCAATCTAAGGATGTGGAACAAATAAATAATGACGACTCCTCCCTCAAGCCAGGATTACGGGGTTCCCCCAGGAAGCTTTCTGTTCAAATCTAAGTCCTCCTGTTACTCCATACTCTCTTAGCACTTAAGTAAGGAACACTTTTCACCTAATATATCCATATTTATTTCTTTTTGCTGGTCTACATGATTTATCTCTGATCAGACTGGACCTTTCCGAAGGCAGAGGGCAGGGCCCCCTGCTGAGGTCTATAGCACTTTGTGCAAGTTTGGACAAGTCACCTTCTGGCCAGAAGCAGTCCTGGGCACACAGTGCAGAGAGTAGAAGGCCTCTTTGTAAGAGGAGAAAGGCCTCCCTTCCCCATGTGGATCCAGGGCACACAACCTGGAGAACATAGTGCTGCTGGTGGGCTTTAGGGCCCTCGCCTCTCAGCTGAACGTCTCTGGGTATTTCCTGGCTGGGCTGGGCTGGCTTCCCCGGGACCCACAGTTTTCCAGATAGGGGTGCAGGGGCTGGGCTCAGTGTGAACTACGGATGCCTGACTCAAGTGCTCAAAGATGTGTCCCTTATTTGTGAAAGAGCCCCAGAAGTCTAAGATGTTCTACCCAAGCTGGTACACTTAAGATTCAGGCTCCTCAAAATTAAAAAGCATTTTTATTTAAGGTTTTTTGTTGTTGTTGTTTACTTTTTAAAAAGAAAGAATAAGACTGTTCTTAATTTTTAAAATGCAGAGTGGGCTTATAAAAACCCTCTGGGCGGCTCCACCCGGGTGAGCCAGGCAGGAAACCTCCACTCACCTCAGCCTGAAAACCACACCAGCCCTTCGCAGGGGCTGGGACTGGGGTGGAGGGGCGCTGCCCCGAGGGACATTTCCTGATGTGTTATCAGCTTAGGAAAGTTTCCACCTCCGAAAGCACCTTCAGAAGGTCAATCGGAGTGACCAGGAGGGAAAGTTTACCCATTGTCTTGAAGGAAATGGGGTGGGGGGTAGGGAGGAAGCAAGAAGCTATTTTCGCTGGACATTCAAGCTCAAAGGCAGCCTCCTAATGAGTCACTGCTTTGTTTGATGTCGTTAAATTGGTTTGTTGTGTCTAATATCAACCAGGATGCTACACAGAAGTAAGGTTTCCCCTCAGAACTGGCATAGGAGAAGAAAAGAAACAAGCAAAGAAACAAAAAGTCCTGGCTACTCTGTGTCCTGCTTTGTTACGCTGCTTTTCCCTTCCAGTAGGGCCTCAAGGCTCAAAAGAGGCCACCTGGGGGCGCCTGGCTGGCTCAGTTGGTTAAGTGTCTGCCTTCGGCTCAGGTCATGATCCCAGGGGCCTGGGATCAGGCTCCCAGCTCAGTGGGGAGTCTGCTTCTCCCTCTCCCTCTGCCCCCACCCCCACCCCCGGCTCTTGCTCTCTCTCAAATAAATAAATAACATCTTAAAAAAAAATGGCCACCTGACAGGGCTTGTGGATGGGGAGTCCTGCCTCGCCCCTGCAGCCACTCACCACGTTCAATTTGGCTGCTGCCCTGCTCTCCCCCTGCCTCTTGTAGAGGGGGCTATTATGTCCTGTGGTCTTCTCATAAGAGCCATGGAAGTCGTATGCCATGAGGCTTATGAAGTCCAGGCTCCTGCAGGAGGGGTGGAGAGAGGGGTGAGGGACTAGTGAGCAGCCCCTCCTTGCTCCTTCCTGCCCTCACTGTGGGGCCGAGAACAGGACCTCATGGTAAGAGACAGGGGTGCAGGCTCACCCCTGGTCTGTAAGAGGTGATCAAACAGCACTCCCTAGTTCCCCTCCAAGTCCCCAATATTGAGGTCATTGTCATTCCGACTGTGGGGTTGGCGGCTCCCGTCTTTGGCATCCTTCCCACAGCAACCTCAGGACACCTCGTGCCCTTACCATTTTGGAGGCAACTCTAGCTCAGTGTTGCTCAAACTTTCGTGTGCACATGAATCACCTGGGAACCTCATTCAAATACAGGCTCTCATTCAGGAGGCCTGTGGTAGGGCCTGAGATCCCGCCTCTCTAACAAGCACGCAGGTGCACCCTCAACACTTTGGGGTGCCAGAATCCAGATGACTCATCCTCTGGCCTTCACTCTTGCCCTCCCAGGGTGCTTGATGTTAAGACTGAGTTCCCAAGGAAAAGAGCAAGGATTCCAAAAGAGAGGATCTGGAACATTGGAGTAGCTGACACAGTGAGCAGATGCTGCCTGGGTCTGCTGCTGGATGGTCGGCCTTTCCCAAAACGATACCTCGCAGGTGAGCTCCTGCTCTACTCCCGGGGCAGCTCAGCCTGCTGTGGCCTCTCCCACCTCGGAGAACACGGCTTCCCTATCATCTGCCTGAGACTCACTGAGCGATTTTGTCCACCTCATATCCAGCATCTATGTCCTTTCTCCTGGCCGGCGCGGCTACACTCAGAAGGAGGCGTTCCTTCCCCGAAGTCTGGGCTTCCTGCTGGAAGGCGCTGGCCAGGTCCTGCAGGGGCAACTCAGAGTAAGCACAGAAACAGGGACCAGACAGGCCCTTGGGGGCTCCAAGCAGATGCTCACTCTCAGGAGTCTGAAAACCGACCACAGGGCTGGTCTGTGCTATGCTAACACATGAAGCAGTGGGCCCCGGGGACATAGCAGCACCCACATGTCCTGTGAGGCCACCGGTCCGGGCCCCCCCTGGCCAGTGGGGTGACACTCTCCCCCGCCCAGTCATACCTGCACCAGGGCTGTGAAGCGCTGCTTGTCTGAAGGAGGGCTCCCCCGGCTTCCTGGGTACTCCCAGTCAAGGTCAAGCCCATCAAAACCATAATTGCGCAGAAACTTAATGGCTGAGTTGACAAAGGTCTGACGGTTGTTGGCTGTCGCCACCATATCTGTGAACCTGTGGGGTGATGAAGGACAGTGTGGGCCTGCCTTGCTGACAGGGGGCCACTCTCTCCCTCAGACACAAGCGAGAAACTCCTCAGGCTATAGGTGGCCGGCCGTTTGGGCCGGGAGGATGCTGGGAGGGCTGCTTCAGAGGCTGCTGAGATATTTGCCGTGGAGTTACCAGCCTGGCCTCAGAAAGAGACAACCCAGAAGTGTGTCCTGTCCCCAGGGCACATTGCCTTGCCTGGAGCTCTGCCTCCTCGAATGCCCCCCACCAGCCTACTGCCATGTCCCTGCTCAGAGAACTGTCCTACCCTGAGTCAGAGCTGGCTGTCACCCCAGCGTGGAGGTTTAGAAAAGAAGAGCAATCAGTTTCTAAAACGAACAGAGAGAAGTACAGCAAGGTTAGTGAGGATCTGGGTAACCCGAGAGCCTGCGGTCCTCACTCCCCGGTGGGTTAACACGGTCATTTTCTTCAAACTCACATTCGTAAAATGCTTGTGCTATTACTAGTCCAGAGCTCCTTGAAATCCTGAGCTGCCCGAAGAACCCCCTCCCCACATCGTCCTGATGCCCAGGATCCCTCCAAGAAGTGTCTCAAGGTTTCTGATCCTATTTTAATTGGTTTTCTATTGACTCATTAATTTGATTAATAGCAGCAGTTCTTAAGTGGGTCCACGTGCTGGGATCCCCAGACGAGAAACCCCTGAATTCCAGGAAAAAATCTGCGTATAAACAGTATTTGGGGAAGGTGGGTCATAAATTTCATCAGGTTTTCAAAAGGGCTCATGATCCAAAAAATTTTAGAAATGGGACGCCTGGGTGGCTCAGTCGGTTAGGCGTCTGCCTTCGGCTCAGGTCATGATCCCGGGGTCCTGGGATCGAGCCCCGCGTCGGGCTCCCTGCTCCGCGGGGAGCCTGCTTCTCCCTCTGCCTGCTGCTCTCCCTGCTTGTGCTCTCTCTCCGTCAAATAAAGAAATAAAATCTTGGGGAAAAAAAACCAAAATGTTTTAGAAAGAGTGGTTTAGAACTTTGGGAACCTTATATTCTGGACTTTCTAGGAAAAGTCTAGGTTCAAATATCTCATTCCATTATCTCCATAATTCCTCAAAAATGTCCTAGAAATGCCAATATTTTGGGCAGCCAAGCTCACTCTCAGAGGTGGAACAAAAATTCTCAGATAAGATATCCTGTTTCAGAGCTCCGGAAATATAGACACTACATGTTGTCTGGGATTAGCTGGGACTCTCCCTCTACCCATTTCTTGGAGGAAGAGACTGAGACCTGGAAAGAGGCCAGAATCTCTCCTGCACTCCTGGCAAGACTGGATGTGTAACAGTCTGGAGCTAAGCCCCCTCCACAGCCCTCCGAATGAGGTACCAAGAGCCCAAGAAGAAGGTCAGCCCTCAGAGTCCAGCCTCCCCTCCCGACTCCCTCACCCTGACTACACTTCAGCCTGGCCTGATTCCCTGACCAGGGCTCTCCCTTGCCAGTAAGTCGGGTCTCCACCCACTGGCTCTGCCGTACAGGTGCCCACGGCCAACTCACTTCCGGGTGCCGAAGTTCCAGCCCCCAATGGCAAGCAGCGTCTTCAGCTTGGGATTCCTAGGAAAGACAACACAAATGCTGGAATTGACAGAATTTAATGCCTAGCCAGCTCCCGGGGCTCACCTCACTGATGGGGAAAGCAAGGGGTGGTGGGTGCCCTGATGGGCGGCTGATGGGGTGGGGGTTGTGTAAGTCCCTATGCATAGAGCCTGGATGGGGGAGCTCTAGATTGGGAAAGAAAAGGCATGTTCCTGCCTTCAAGGGCCTCCCATCTGGCTAGGGAGATATACAGACAAAGAACTCAGGAAGCAGAGATAAGGGCGGATCCATAGAGAGGTTTTGTCAAGGTGGCGATAACACTTGACCTAAAGGATGGATAAACTTTAAGAAGAAGAAGGGCATGCATACCCAGCAGAGGGAAACAGTTTCCCAACCCAGACCCCACTTAGACCTAAACTAGAATGGCCCTTAAGGAGTCCCTCTCGGGTGCCTGGGTGGCTCAGTTGGTTGGGCGACTGCCTTCGGCTCAGGTCATGATCCTGGAGTCGCGGGATCGAGTCCCGCATCAGGCTCCCTGCTCAGCGGGGAGTCTGCTTCTCCCTCTGACCCTCCCCTCCTCGTGCTCTCTCTATCTCATTCTCTCTCTCAAATAAATAAATAAATAAATAAAATATTAAAAAAAAAAGGAGTCCCTCTCTACCCCTACCTCTTCCATATAAGCACAGGAAAGCCCAGAGAGGTGATGCAACTTGCCCAAAGCCACATAGCAGGTCTGTAGCTGAATTGCAGCCCTGGGGAAGATTTCTGACTCTGAGAAGAGGTACCTGCCTTCTCTACCTCCCATCCCCCTCCAGAGCAGCTCACATCTTCTTCAGGCCATTGAACTCCTGGTATAAGGCCTCATCGTCCCACTCTGTAGAGCTGAGCTGGTGGTTGTTCATGCCCGCAAAGGCATAGACGAGGTGGGTGCACAGGTTCGGCTCCACATCCTTGGGCAAGAAGCAAGTGACCCCCTGTCTATACTGGGCCCAGTTGGTGAAGTAGCAGACCAGCTTTGCGGCAGAGCCTGGCCATTGGGGACAAAGAAAAGAAATGGCAGTCATAAGGGTCTGCTGAGGACTGTCATCCTCTGCCCAGGAGCAGAACCTACGTAATGCCAGAGAGTGTTAACGATGACTCTTGACCTGCTGAAGGCAGGTCGGCAGAACTTTCAAAATGCAGCTTGGAATACTTCAGAAGATTCATTAAAATGCAAATACGTGAAGTAGCAGAGAAGAGACCTCAGTTACATGCCTGCGTTTATGTTTTAAGTCTTGCTTTAAAAAAGCTTTATTTCAGGGCGCCTGGGTGGCTCAGTTGTTAAGTGTCTGTCTTCGGCTCAGGTCATGATCCCAGGGTCCTGGGATGAAGCCCCTCATCGGGCTCCCTGCTCCGCAGGAAGCCTGCTTCTCCCTCTCCGACTCCCCCTGCTTATGTTCCCTCTCTCGCTGTCTCTCTCTCTGTCAAATAAATAAATAAAATTTTTAAAAAATAAAATAAAATAAATAAATAAAATAAAAAAGTTTTATTTCTTGCAGAAAATCTATGTTAATATCGCTGATAAGGTTCTAATGAAGAGTTTGTTTTATCTAGGAAAAGGCAGGTTGTTTCTGGAATCCCCAGAAAGTTTGGGAATTTTGGGGGGGTGGGGCGTCTTGTTCCTAGAAGTTTGATCTAGCAGTGATGGCCCCCACAGAGGTCAGTGCTATGCTAGGTTGACCAGATAACCAGACAGCAAGAAGGCTGACTTTTATTCCTGCATCTGTCAGAAATGCACTTTGGGCCGATTGCTTCTTCAGCTCTGGCCCAGGGTCCCCAGCTGAAAATGACGGGTTGGTCGCTGAGGTTTCTTCCAGAACTTGCGGTCTATGAGGGTGTGGTCTGCATGAGCCAACATTTTATGCCAGGGACTTGCCAGAATCGTGGGTTTGTACTGGAGTACATCTATGGCCAGTGTCTAGACCTGAGGACTTCCTTTAGCCCCGACAGGGTCTCTCTGCAATCGCCTCTGCCTTCCATGTGGCCAGTAAGAGGTCAGGGGAGAGGGAAGGGGGTGCAAAGTGTCTACAGGAGGCTGTGTGGAAACCCAGAGCATGAGGAGCTGTCTGAGACTCCCCTGGGAGAAGCTGGAGTCCTTGGGTCATCACTGGCTCTAGCCAGAGGCCACTCAGGAGTAGAACTTGCCAGTGGGGGCTGGGAATGTAGCCTGCAGTGATATAGGAGGAGGAGGATTGGTGAACTCCCCAAAGCAAAGGGTTAACCCGGGGAACAATACATCCTAGGACCTACCATCTAGGAGGAAGCCTGGAGGCTCTTCTTACATCATACCCTGTTATATCAAATATTGTCCATGGATTTTTGTACTAGAGAGGCAATAAAATGTGGTGGTTAAGAGCAGGGTCTCTGGAATTTTAATGCCTGGGTTGAAATCCCAACTCTGCTGCTTTTCAGCCAGGTTACTCAGTTTTTTGCTCCATATCATGAGAACGATCATCATTTCTACCTCAAAGTACTGTTGTATGGATAGTTAAGATATTAAATACTCAGAACGGGGGCGCCTGGGTGGCTCAGTCTTTAAGCGTCTGCCTTTGGCTCAGGTCATGATCCCAGGGTCCTGGGATCGAGCCCCGCATCGGGCTCCCTGCTCGGCGGGAAGCCTGCTTCTCCCTCTCCCACTCCCTCTGCTTGTGTTCCCTCTCTCGCTGTGTCTCTCTCTGTCAAATAAATAAATAAAATCTTTAAAAAATAAATAAATAAATAAATAAATAAATAAATACTCAGAACGTTGCTAGCAGACAGCAAGCTCTGTTCTAAGTGCTTTACATATATGAACCCTTGATTCACACAAGACTCTGTTAATATATATACCATATATATACCAATATATATACCATACCATAAACCCAGAAGTAGCTTGGACTTCAGCTTTTGGGGAAATCTTCAACCTTTCTTCCCCATGTTTGTTATTTCTGTGGCCTCAGGCTGTTGCCTCCTGGGAGACCAAGAGGAGAACTATTTGTCTAATGTCACAGCCCCGCCTCAAGATGAGGGTCTGAGGAGCCAGCATTCCTGGGGCCACGGACACACAGGGAGTGGGGTGGGGTGGGAAGGGAACCCCAGAATCCAAGTTGCTGAGCATCCCCCAGAGATCTCTCTCCTGTCTGACACGGGAAGTAGCCCTTCTTGGCTCCCCTGAGCCCTACATGCCATCAGTCCAGCAGAAACGGGAGTATGTTGTCTAGGTGGAGCTAAGGGGCTGGGATGTGGAGCTGGGTAAGACTTGAGCTCCTTCCCTCCAGGAGCTCACCGCCTGGTCGGGGAGACATCTATGCCAATAATTAGCAACACTGACATACATACTGGGAAATGTGTTCAGCTCTGTGAGAGCACAGAGGTTGGAGCAAGTGACCTCAGGAAAGACCTGAGAGAGCTTGACAGTGAAGCTGGCCCCATGGACATGCAGTTGGGCTAGTAGGTAAGGCGGCAAGAACTTTCCCTGAAGGAACGGCAGGGCTGTTTGCGGCACAAGGACACTTGCAGGGGCCTGAGCTTTGGAGGAGAAGCCCCACGGAAATCTGGCAAGAGCTCTTGATGTGGGGGGTGGGGGTCGGGGTCAGGGTTGGGGAGCGAGTGGGGAAGGCAGCAGAGCCCAGGGAAGGGGCTGAGGGGATCCAGGGCTGGCCTCAAGAAGGTACCACTTACCCTCCCTGCCTCCAAAAAAAGAGAGCATCCAACTCTTGATCTCAGCTCAGGTCTTGATCTCAGGGTCATGAGTTCAAGCCCCGCGTTGGGCTCCACACTGGGTGTGGAGGCTACTTCAAACAAACAAACAAACAAACAAACACAAAACAAAACAACAAAACAAAAAAGAAAGGCTCCACTTACCCCACTGGATTGTCAGCAGAACTATCAAACCTAAAGCAGCACAAGAGAGAAGGCAGAGGTTAAGAGGTCATTCGTATTTTCCCCGGACCCTATCTGCCTCTTGAAGCCCAGGAGGTAGAGATGGTCAGAGAGGGGTAGGCCCAGGGTGGTTTCCTCCAAATCAAACTTCTTCTGTCCAAAAGGGACCCAGGAGGGCACTGTGTCCATCCTTTCACCCCGGCCAGACATCAGGGACCCTCCCTGGCCTGAACTAGTCCCAGAGCTGATGGGTTTCTGAGAACAGAGGCTGCCCCTCCCTAGAACATCAATATTTAGGAAGATTCTAGGAAAACCCGTGAGGAGAGAATGTTTCTTTTGGAACAAGCAGAAAAACTGTCCTGGGGCTGGTGAGAGCCAGTGTGGAAGGGCTAGGTCAGAGATGCCATCTCTCGGTGAGCCCTCTGCACCTCTGTTCACCCCCACTAGTTCCCTACTTCCTGCTGCTTTCCCACTGCACCTCATTAAGAGCTTGGTTGAGTTACCAGCATCCTTGGAGACCTAGGGCCCAGCAGGACTCCTTTAGAAAGATTTATTTCAGCTTTTTGGTGACCTTGGATTTTCCTGTTAACCTAATGGAACCTGTGTGAACACTTTTTAAGGACACCCAAAGTCATGGCCTCCAGGCTGCCCTCTTTCTTGCAGGACAACCAGCACAGAATTAGGGAAGAATTCTTTGGCAGTGGGCATCCCTTGGAAAAGGCCAAAGGCAGAAGACTAAGAACATGGGAAAGATAAAACCACCCACTGCAGTGGTGTTTGCTGACTCTGGGCTTGCAGAACAGGAGGAAAAGTCCATTTCAGCCTGTTGAGAAAAGCCTCTCCTTGCAGCACGAAGTCTCTTGGATTAAAAGAGTCCAGGGGGACCCCACAGGAACGGAATGACCCTCTGAAGTTCTCCCGCTTCCTTGCAGACAGCACCAAGAAGCCACCTAATAACCACATGCTCACCTCCTCACAGCTCCCTGGGCCCAGCCCACTCTCCCAGACAGTGCCCACGCACCTGCCCAGGCCATGGACCGTGCCATGGTGCTGGCTCGGCACCAGACTCCAGCCTGTGCCACCAGCTCTCTAGACCTGCTCTCCTTTTATCAGGCTGCCCTGATCCACCGTAGCCTGAAGTGTTGAAATCAGACGGTGGCGGTGCGGGAAGAGAGGGTCTGGGGTGTGGCATGAAGCTAGGGTGTCACATAGCATGGATTGGGCAAACCTAACTCAATGGCCTTTAGCAATTCTTGGTTTTCTGGAACAATCACAGAGTGTAAACTGGGCCCTTGGCATGACCAAAACTGGGAGGCAGAGAGAGGGAAGCAGGAAATGTTTCTAAGCCTCCTGCTGGACAAGCACGGTTCTCATTTCCTTGGTGGGAGTTGGTGAAGACTGTGAGTGACCTATAACTTAATGGGCTTGGGAGGAAAAGGGATGACTCACAAGTCGGGGGAACTGGGCTCCTGACCAGCCTGCTTGCTTGCTTCTCCACTGCCCCCTCTGGAATTCACTTGCCCTCTCTGTAAGATGATAGGGTTGCAAATATAATATGTATTTCATGAAAGTTCTATTTTATTACCCTCTACATGATACTAATATATTTTATAGTCATTGATTGAGAAAAATACCTAATGGCAAATGACAACTATGAGCTTGTTAGTAGATTTAAGTGCCTTGGTTTTCTTTGTCTTTTATTTATTTATTTTTTAAATAAGCTCTATGCCCAACGCGGGCTTGAACACAGAACCCCGAGATCAAGAGTCACATGCTCCACTGACTGAGCCAGCCAGGTGCCCCTTGAATGCCTTGTTTCCTATAAATTATATATATATTAATTTCCTATGGCTGTTGTAACATATTCCCACAAATCTGGGAGGCTTAAAACAACAGAAATTCATTCTCTCTCAGTTCCAGAGGCCGGATGTCTGAAACCAAGGTGTTGGCAGGGCCATCTGTCCTCTGAAGTTTCTAAGGAAGAATCTTCCCTTGCACCTTCCAGCTTCTGATGGCTTCTGGTATTCCTTGGCTGGTGGTGGCATCACTTTGATCTCTGTCTCATGGCCTTTCCCCTGTGTCTCTGTGTATCTTCTGTTACCTCTTACTAAGACACTTGTCATTGGATTTGGGGCCCACCTTAATCCAGGATGATCTCCTCTTGACATTCTTGCCTTAATTACATCTGCAAAGACCCTTATGCCAAATAAGGTCACATTCTGAGGTCCTTTTTCAGGGGCGGGTGGCATGGGGAGGAGTACCGTTCAACCCACCATAGGACCTAACTGTGTTCGTGTTACTGATTCTGTCTGCAGACAATGTCTGGTGCGTGCATGAACTCCAGGGTCCCAGGCGAATGGCAGCTCTTAGGTGATCAGATCTTTGATCCTTGACCTTAATATGAGTGGCCTGGATGGCTGAGTGGGAATGTCCAGTGGCAGCAGGTTCTGGGGTCAGGTTGCCTAGATTTTAATCCCAGCTCTGCCATTTACTCTCTGCACAACTTTGAGCCAGTTCCTTAACTTCTCTGAGCTCCAGTTTCTTCATTTGTGAAGTGAAATCCTCAGAGGATTATTGGGAAGGCATTACACATTGGCAGCTCTTACTCCTGGTTCTGCCGTGTGTGTGTGTCAGAGCTCAGGGTCCTGGTAACCTCTGTGAGGTCCCTAAGAGGGTGGGAACTTGGTACCCAGATGGGCAGGCCCTGTGTTCTCGCCTTCCCTGCGGCAGCCGTGGCCTTTTTTTTTTTTAAGATTTTTTATTTATTTATTTGACAGAGAGAGACACAATGAGAGAGGGAACACAAGCAGGGGGAGTGGGAGAGGGAGAAGCAGGCTTCCCGCGGAGCAGGGAGCCCGATGTGGGGCTCGGTCCCAGGACTCCGGGATCCTGACCTGAGCCGAAGGCAGACGCTTAACGACGGAGCCACCCAGGCGCCCCAGCCATGGCCTCTTTTTTGATCATTTCTGTTCCCTTCCCTTAGGGATCCTTCAAAGGAGCCTGCTCAGGGTCCCCTGAGATCTGCAGCTCCTGGGATGTGAGCGAGAAGGGGAGGGTGAAGTGGTGCCTGCCTCTCAAGTCGCTCTTTGTTCTGTTCTGCTGATTTGTTTTCTGTCAAGTACTTCCAGTCATGCAGGGTGAATGCATGAGTGAAGATCGCTTCTCCAGAGAAGCCAGGGGCCTCCTTCACCTTCTGGCCACCCCCACAAACACAACTGAGCTGTCAGCTTGGAGCTTCTCTGACTCAGCTTCCTGTCCCCAAGAGGACGCTGAACAGCAGGGCCCAGCATTCTGAGTTGCTCCAAATACCCATCTGGCCCAACTCACGTAGGGTTTCCACTATACCCAGTAGCCCACCATTAGCATTGCTACCTTGGTTAATGCAGCTGATTCTTCTTCTTCTTCTTCTTCTTCTTCTTCTTCTTCTTCTATTGTTTTCTTTTTTGTTCCAGACCATTTCTTCAAGGGAAAATAAGTAGGAACCTATTATATGAAACAAGCTCCTCTAAGTTCCTCGGGGAAAAATCTGATGAGGGTCAGGGGCTCTGACTCTTGCCCCCTCGACACTAAGATCAACATGTCCTCCACATCAGCTCCATGGCACCTCTGCGGGGGAAGGATTTGCCTTCAGTTGGGGACACTGGCAAATGCAGCTATGTGCCCTATCTCCTAAAAACCAACAATACATGTCATAAACTTTGAAATGCTAAAGGCATTTCCATTAAAATAAGTAATAAAGAAAGCTTGAAGGCTACGACCACAGTTGCTCAGCATTGTTTTAAAATTTTGCCTATTATAGGGGCACCTGGGTGGCTCAGTCAGTTGAGTGTCTGACTCTTGATTTCGGCTCAGGTCATGATCTCAGGGTCGTGGGAGCGAGCCGCATGTGGGGCTCCACACTCAGTGGGGAGTCTGCTTTGGATTCTCTCTCTCCCTCTCCATCTGCCCTTCCTCCCGTTCCCACTCTCTCTCTCTCAAATAAATAAAAATAAATAAATCTTTAAAAAAATTTTTTGGCTATTATACTAAGAAAAGGGGAAAATATATATAGTATACGAATGATATAACTGCCAATAGTTGTAGATATGTTTGGATATCTACAAAACCCTTCTGTTTTCTAGACTCTCAAAAAAATAGACCAGGAATAAAACAGAATTTGCTGGATTTAAGGTGAATTAATAGCTTTTCTCTATATTAGCAGAAACCAATTAGAAATAGAAACGGGGGCAAATGTCTGATCTACAGAAGTGTCAAAAGCTATAAAACACTTAGGACTAAATTTAATAACAATAAATTTGATAGTAAAATCTATACAACTTATTGCAGGACATAAACAAGATCCAAACATGTGTCTGCACAGGGAAACTATATCATTAAAAAAGTGTCAGTTCTCCGTAGGGCGCCCAGGTGGCTCCGTCCGTTAAAGCGTCTGCCTTTGGCTCAGGTCATGACCCCGGGGTCCTGGGATTGAGCTCTGCCTCGGGCTCCCAGCTCAGTGGGGAGTCTGCTTCTCTCTCTCCCTCTGCCCCTCCTTCCCGCTTATGCACTTTCTCTCTCTCTCAAATGAATAAATAAAATCTTTAAAAAAAAATGTTAAGTCTCCTCAAGTTAAAAAAAAAAAAAAAGATAGTAATGATGAGGGACATACTATACAAAACTTACTATAAATCCATTGGGATCAAAACATGGAATAGGCGCCAGAGCAGACAAACAGGGGTAGATCTGAGCATATATGGAAAACATATGTCCAACAAAGGCAATGTTTCAACTGGGCAGGAAAAAGATGTTTCATAAATGCCAATGACTTAATTGTCTACCAAACTAGAAAGAATCAAGGTTGGGCCCCCCACACCATATATAGTAGTGAGGACGGGGTAGGATGAAAGGGTGTCCTGGAAGTAAAGGGGGGTGGCCAGAACCCAGCCAGAGAGGGCGAGGGGAGGCCGGGGGAGTGGTGCTTGAACAGAGCTTTGAGAACTAGTAGTGTGGCAGGCAAAGAGAGAAAGGCAGGATGGTTTGGGCAAGCATACCAGATATTCAGTGATAGGTCGTCTCAGACAAAACCGCCCATCATACTGCAGGGACAGTGAGACAGCATCCCATCAGTTGAGAAGCACCGATTGAGGAAAGCAGACTGGGGGTGAGCTCTGCTAAGGGGCTCTGCGGGGGAGGGCACTGGACATGCCAGCAGGGGAGGAAGGGGCTGCGTTGCTTTATCAACCTGGAATTCTTCGGCAATTGTGTCTCAGACTAGGTAGGGTATATCTGAGGCTGACCTGATAGGCCTGACCCAAACTGCAAAATATCAAGGAATAGAAAGCTACAGCCTGGGGTCGAGGCCTGAGAAGCAGAAGACAGGCCCATGTCCGGCGAAGCCCAGGGAGTGACCCAGAATACCCACCCGTGAATTTCTAACTCAAGTAAGCAGGTCTCGGCCTCCAGTGCAGGTGGCCCATGTCTAAGCTGAAAGATCCCTGGTACCTTCAGCAAGCGCTAATCAACAGCATGCCATGCCTCTGCTCCTTGGCCTTCTGCCTCCCGGGGCAGACTTCCTGGCCCCTCACATCTTACAGGGATCCATCTGAGTCAAGCCTTGCCTCTTCCCCAGTCATGCTGGTCCACACCAACTCCTGCCATGTGGGAGCCATTCCTTCTACCCAGAGCAGGAAGACACTCCGCTTGAAGACCGAAAGGCCTGGGTGTGCCTCAGTGGATCTCCCAAGAGATGACATCAGGGGGCTTTATACCCTTTCTTCCATCCCCATTGGCTTCTCTCACCCTCTCTCAGCCACACCTCCCCCCCAAAAAAACAAATTCAGGTAAGGCCAGTGCGCTTGATACACAATAAAACTTCAAGATAAACCCCCAGCCTGCCCCACCCCAGAGCAGACTCTTCTCCAGAAATTCTGGAGCCTGCTCTGGTTCACACACATCCTAGTTGTCTGAGCCGGGGCGAGTTACAATGTCTCCAAGCCTCTGTTTCCTCATCTGCAGAATGGACACAACGCTACCTATCTTCCTGGTGAAGTGAATCGAGTAGAGAATGTGTGGAAGGGCTTGTAAGTGACCGAGCACCAACCGGATCTCAGCATGAGACCCCGATCACAATGGGTGGCGTCACGC